CTCGAACCTGCAGGCTCAGGCAATCCACTCACCTCAGCCTCCCAAAGTCGCGGGATTACAGGCTGAGCCACCGAGCCCGGTATCCCTCCCCACCTTTTATTTTCTCTCCTTTCCTTTCTAAGACAGAGCTTTACTCTGTTGCCCAAGTTGGAGTCCAGTGGCATGATCTCAGCTCATCACAGCCTCTACCTCCTGAGCTCAAACAATCCTCCTGTCTCAGCCTCTGGAGTAGCTGGGACTATGGGTGTATACCACCGTACCTGGCTAATTTTTCTATTTTTTGTAGAGACAGGATCTCACTTTGCTGCCCATGCTGCTCTTGAACTTCTGGGCTCAAGCAATCATCCTATCTCAGCCTCCCAAAATGCTGGGAGCCACCACACCTGGACTGCATCTGAATCTTAGTAGTCCAAAAATATAGCTTCTGATCTTTTTCCTCAAACTCATTCCTCTCCCATAATTCATCATCTGAGGAAACTCATCATCATTCTGTTGTTCAAACCAACAATTTAGAGGTGTTCCTGCACTTCTCCCTTTCCCCTTTTTCCCATATGCAGCAGCCATGAAAGTGCACCTCTAGGATTTCCAGTTGCAGGGAGCACTGGTGACTGATGGCCCCATCTGCTGTGCTCCAAAGTTCATCACCACATTCCAGACTGCACTACCCCAACTCCTCCCAGGCAGCAACTGAACACACAGGGATACTAAAGTAGGCCCATTCCTAGGAAACATGAGGCTTCTCTGATGGACGACATTGGCTTGAAGATTCCCAACTGGCCATGCTGAAGTTGTTTTAGAAACGTATGGCATCTACACCTTTTCCTACCCTTCCTTTCCTGTCCCCCACAGGTTTGAACCTGTCCACTGTCTTTCCAGTTCCCCTCAGATGCCCCCCTGTTAGCCCTCACAGCAGTTCCCTCCAACCAATCTTTTGCATATGGAATCCAACACTGTTGCCGGCTTCTCAGAGGACCCAAACCAACAGAGCATATGCAATCCATCAGCATATTTTAGGCCATTTCTAGCATGCATCCATTTCTCTTTATTGCCTTCAACACTCAAGGAAAAGCTATGATGTTTCTTCCCTGGATTACTGCAATAGCCACCTACTTCCATCTCACATCTCTCCAATCCATCCCCATTGCAGCAAGAATCAGAATGATTAAAAAAAAAAAGTAAATCAATCATGTCACTTTCCTGCTTAAAATCTTTCAGTGTCTTCCATTATGCTTAGAGTAAAATTTAAACTGCTAACTTGGCCACAGTGCTTCAAAGCCTCACTCCTGTCTCTTTTCAAATTCATCCTGGTCCCCCTCCCTCTTGTCCAGATGCTCACCAAACTTCTGACACACTAGTGTCCTTTCTCTTTCGCCAAATTGCCAAGTCCTTTTGTGCCTCAGGGCCTCAAGTGGGCTCTCAAGTGGGCTCATTCTCACCCTTAGGTCTCAACTCAACTGTCCCCTCATCAGTGCAGAAGTGCAGACTTCTCCACACAAGCTCTCATCTCCACCCAATGTCATCTTCTTTCCTCACAAGCAGTTATCATTATATGTCACTATTTTGCATAGTGTCTGCTTCTCCCACTTGAACAAGGGTAGGCAAAGCATGGCCCATGGACCATCATTTGTTTTTGTATGACCCATAGCTAAGAATTTTTTTTTAACCTATTGAAGTGTTTTTTAAAAAGTTTACCTTTAAAAAGAATATTTCATGATACATGAAAATTATGTGAAATGTGGGCCAGGTGCAGTGGCTCACTCCCGTAATTCCAGGAGTGAGCAGGAGTCTGAGGCAGGAGGATTGCTTTAGGACAGAAGTTCGATACTAACCTGGGCAACATAGTGAGATCTTGTCTTTAAAAAAAAAAAAAAGCAGGCATGTGCTACTTGGGAGGCTGAGGTGGAAGGATTGCCTGAGCACAAAAGGTAGAGGCTGTGATGAGCCGTGATCATGCCACTCCACTCCAGCCTGGGTGACACAGTGAGACCCTGACTCAAAAAAAAAATTTATTTCATGACAATGAAAATTATGTGACATTTGAATTTCAGTTGGAGCCCAGCAATGCTCTTTCATTTATATTTTGTTTATGCCTGCTTTCACACTACAACAGAAGAGTTGAATAATTGTGTATGGTCCACACAGCCTAAAACATTTACAAAGTTTTGTGACCACTTGGCTAGACTGTAGGGTTCATGGGTCCCCACTGTTGATCTTGTTCCATCCTTTACTCTTAGTGCCTGCTCTATGGTTAGCACTCAATGATTACAGGTAAAATAAACCTTCCCTCTCTCACAAGACTATTATGTGTGGAGGTAGGTGGACTTATCTCATTGGATTATTCCCTTCTGAGACCTAGTCAGAGGATTTTAGAACCAAATATTATTCACTCTGGGGAAGCATCTTGAAAACAGGACTGTTTTATTCATCTTGAAATACCTAGTACACCAACCTTACACAAGGTAGGATGCAGCTGGAAATGGGAAGAACTCTTTTAGGGTCATTATCAAGAGGAAATTAAGTAGTGCATGCAAAGGACTTAGCATGGTATCAAGTGTAGAAAAGTGTTCAATAAATGTTTGCTCCTGACTCAATTTTCCTTGATATTATGGTGTTACCAAAACGCCAGGGGTTCCAGTCAGAGTCCTGTTGCTTGTCATACAGAAAAAGTCAATCACTGAGATGAGTATTGCCAGAGAAGGAGGCTTTTTATTGGGTGATATCAGCCTAGAAGAATGGGAGACACCTTTTCAAATCCATCTTCCTGTCTCTATGAAGTCAGGGGTGTGTATAGTGGGGCAGGAATGTAGAAAAACAGGAATTAAGGAGGGTAAGTTGGCAAACAAATTGGGGAGAGGTAAGGAAGAGGAGTTGGTGAGCAGGAATTAGAAAGTGGTAAGGAAGAGGAGTTGATACACAGGAGGGGTCTGGCATCTCACTGGATGCAGTGATCTGGTGAGTTTCCATTCCTTTATATTATAGACCTGAGGGTTGGTTTCCTGAGAATGAAACTCAGATTAAGACTAATGTAAGTTTCAAGACCAGAAGGGTCAACCATTATGTTTACTCAAAAAGAAACAGTAACCATTAGTTCTTTGGGAAAGTTGGGCCGGTTTCTGGGAATAAAAAGAACCACCCTTTATGGGACTATCATACAGACTAAATTACAGAGTGCTGTATGTGAAAAAGCTTTGAAAACCAGACACAATCCAAATGGATTTATGCAAATGCAACAGACGAACACACCTGGGCACTGAGCATCCTGGTTTGGAGGGATGAGTCCTGATCTGGGGTGAGAACACCTAATGTCCTAATTCTTGCCACTCAAGTGACCTTGGACACCTTAAGCCACCTTCTGTGCCTTGCTTCTTTTCTTCATTTGTGAAACTAACCTCTGAACGGACAAGTCTTTCGGAGGTCCAGCCCTAGTCTTCTCTGTCAGGTCTTTCCTTTTCCTGTGGCTGGGAAGACATCCCCAATCCAAAGACGTTCTGCGGGAGCGGGGCCAATCCAGGGGCGGATCGCGGCGTGCGTGGGGCGCGGTCCCTCAACCCCCCGCCCCCTTCCCTCCTCCGGGCTGGGCAGGGACACACGCGGGAGAAAACAGTCAGGAGGCGGGGTCAGCCCGGGGGCAGGCGCGCCGTGCGTGGGGCGTGGCCTCTCTCCCTCTCTCACTCCCTCTGCCTGGCCGGGCCCGGCTGGCATCACGGGGGCGGGGCGGGGCGCGGCGTGCGCGGGGCGTGGCCTCTCTCCTCCCTCTCCCACTCCTTCCGCCTGGCCGGGCCCGGCTGGGTATCACGGGGGCGGGGCGCGGCGTGCGCGGGGCGTGGCTTTCCTCCCTTCCTCCCTCCTACCCTTCGCCGCCGCCGGGCCGGGCCGCACGGGGGCGCTGCTAGACCCGTTCCGCTCTACGAGTTGCCGAGCAGCCGAGGAGACGCTCACTTCCGCGTCGGCCCTGGGGCGTCAGGCGGCGGCGCCGAGGGCCCGGCGGGCCGCAGGTCAGTCGGGGAGGCCGCCGGCTCGTCACACCCTCTGGGGCGCAGGAGCGGGGCGCCGGGTGGGCAGCAGCCCGCGAAGCGGCGGGACGACCGGAGGAAGGGCCCGGGCCTCGTGTGTACCATGGGCGCCCCGGGCTGCAGGCTCGGGCTTTGGGCTGACTCGGGGTCCCAGGCCGCGGAGACCCCGGGGGGCCTTCTGACTCCCCAGCTCCTCCTCCTCCCGGCTTCGGCTTCGAAAGAGGATTGTGAGCCCCAGGAGCAGTGTTTCTCAAAGTGGGGTTCGCGGGCGGATCCCTACCCCTCCTCAGACTTTCATGGGATTCTGTTGTGACCCGAGTGTCTGCATTATCCCTGGCGTCCCTGATGGTTTTGTACAGGTGGTCCTAGGAGTGCGCTTTGGGAGACCCCGCCCTCAGGGCCGGGCGCTTGCCACATATCAGGGTCGGTGCGTTTGAGGATGGGGCCTGGAGAGTGTCCCGCAGGTCTGGCCTTGGAATGGTCTAGGGTCTAATGGACCTTTGTAAGGTCCTCTCTCCTAGAGACTGCGGGCGAGGGAGGGAGAAGTACCTCTTAAATCCTTGGAATCAGGGTGGTGCCGCATTCTTCCAACCACCAAGTCTTCAGGTGGATGGATGCTTAGTGAGTGAAGGGCCTGGGCAGGAGCCATGGGGGTGGCACCTCGATGAGGGATGCGGTGTGGGTCCTGCTGATCTGGATTGGGGCTGGCTCCACCTCCCACTAGCAGGCAGCCCCAGCGTGGCCCTCGTACACGTCACTGTTTTTTGTCCCAGTGTCTTCATCTGTCAGCAGGGACAGTAATTCCTGCCCAACAGGACTTTTGTATGAATTAAATGATGTCTGTCAAGTGTCTCTTACAGTGGCTGGTGCACAGTAAGCATTCAGGAAGTGGGAATTATTGAGAGTGACACAGGCCCTGCCTTCATCTGCTTAGAGACCAAAAAGTAGGGATTATCCCTGGGATACAATATGGACAGAAATTCAAAGTATATTTGTAGAACTGTGCAAGGATTCTAAGCCAGGGATTACTTGAAAAGTCCATGGAAGAAGTGAGGTTTGCAAGGGCCTTGAGGAATAGATAGGATTCAGCGAGCTGGTGACTAGGGCTGCGTGAACCAGTTCTGTCCTGTGCCTCAGAAGTGCTTCTCTCACAAGGGTATTTGGAGGATTGCCTCCAGGTCTTCTGCACAATGCAAGAAGTCACATCAATAAGTGGTTTTGGAAGGCTGGGTCTTTGGTCTGAATGGTTTCTGTTCACTGACCGTGTTCTACACACATGGTCTTCCCCAGACTCTAATGGGCTCCTTCCAATTCATTGGAGACTAGCTAAATTGGAGCGTCTCCTAAAGGATCTTAGTTGATTGTTGAGTAAAAGCAAAGTGACATGGATGTAGTTGAGCCTTTGACAGCCATTTTCAACTTGCTATGAAATGTGCCGATTCTTAATATTGGGAATATCCTTTTCATCACAGTGTTGTTTCAGGTTCCATAGAAACACCACAAGTGTCACTTGTGGCCCAACCATCTCCAGGGTAGATTAAGAAATCAGATGCAGCCATTGCCTTACTAAGACTCTGGTGTGGTGCTCTTTGAACTATGGCTATCGCCATGCTTCCTAACTTTGGCCCCCTCCCCTACCTTAGGGAGGTGAATCTCCTCTCTCTTTCTCCCTCTAATTTACTTTCTAAATAAACTGTTTTCTAATCTTTAAAAAAGAAATCAGACCCTTAAAACTTCCGCCCTTTAGAGTAAAGAAGCTGATGATTTGGAGGTGTTAATGTGTAGTTTTAGACCCATCTGGCTACTGGTATACATAGGATTCTGATCTCAGTTGATGAATTGGATATTCCTTAGTTACCTAACTTGAGAATCACAATTATCATTGTTAGTAATTTCTACTTTTTTATTTCCTTAAATCTCCAGAGTCAATATCAAGTCTTTCAATATACATCTTATGGTAAAATTTATATATTTGTACATAATATTTCTCATTTATCAAGTACTTACCCTGGGCCACAGACTATATACTAAGTGCTGTTTTATATGTTCTGTTCATTATTCCTCTGATGGTCCTGTGAGGTTGGCACCATTTTTGCTTCCATTTTTATTTTTTGAGTTGGATTCTGTGTTGCCCAGGCTGGAGTGCAGTGGTGCCACTGCAGCCTCCACCTGCTGGAACCACATTAAAGACAAGGTCTTACCAAGTTGCTCAGGCTGGTCTTGCACCCCCAGGCTCGCAATTCTCTCACTTCCACCTCCCAAAGTACTGGGATTACAGGTGTGAGCCACTGTGCCTGACTTGCTTCCATTTTTAGATAAGGAAACGAAAGGCAGTTAAGTAATTTGCCCAAGGTCCCAGAGCTAGCGAGTGGGAAAGGCCAGCAGCTCAAGTCCCTGCAATGCAGGGGCCTCTCTGTGGTGTAGTTGGCTCCCTCAGCCTCACTATAAAGAGGTATATGAAGACTGAATGATCACTTCTTCTGCTGTGTGGCAGACAGCATCGTCTTGGGATGTGGTGATTGTGGCAGTGGTGATTAGGCTGGTATATTATCTTTACAGATCTTCCAAATTCTCAGCGCATTTCAGAATTCTTTCATATTAGATAAAAGCCTTCAATTCAGTATTGCCAGGACTGAGGAATCTCCATCACATTCAAGTGTGTTTATTTTATCTATTTAGTGTATTGTTGGAAATGTCAGAGATGATTATCCTTTGTTCTTACAGAGTGGGACTGAGACTCATTATTTTGAGGTTTCTGAAAGTGACGTGAGGCAAAAATCCTGGTGCCAGGGGAGCAATGGAAGGCCACAAGTCAGAAGAGGAGGTGCTGGATGTCCTACGACTGAATGTGGGCGGCTGCGCTTACACAGCCCGGCGTGAGTCCTTGTGCCGCTTCAAGGACTCTATGTTGGCCTCTATGTTCAGTGGTCGCTTTCCTCTAAGAACGGATGAGTCAGGTACATGTCTATAGGCTGGAAGTGTTATCATGAATATTCATTACGTAGAAGTCCAGTTTAAATTCCCTTTGAGTTTCTTAATTACATTAGAATGTGTTAGATTACTAATTTTTGAAATCATTAGTACTGTATGGAGATTTATTAAGTACATGGAGAAATGAAATACCAGTTCTGAAAATCTATGATACTGTTGCTAAAAGTTGTCAAAGTGTGACTGCTGCAGGCCAGTCGTGACCCAATTATGGGGATTAACTATATTTGGAAAGTCATCACTTTCAGGGAGCTTCACGGGTGATGGTATCAAGGCTAATTGAATAGATTAGCTTCTTTCCATGTTCTTCCAGTTAGAAATGTGTTTTTCTGGAGAAGGCATTTGCCCTCAGAGCTACAGAGCAGTCATCATCAGTACAGACTTAGTGTTAGGCTCACTACCCAGCCTAGCTGTGCAGTCCTGCTGTGGGAGCTGACGTTCCTGGCTGAGAAAATGTCAGTGCAGTGATACCATCAGGCACTAAGTGGCAGAGGACCGGACACCAGTGTTTCAGAAGAAACTGAAATTACTCGTGTAGGTGAAGTTCTGGGGCTGCTCTCGGCCTTGACTGCTCTGGGACTCACTGAACCTGCTTCTGGTTATAAAGAAACTTCATCAACACAAGTGAGTCTTTTTTGTACTATCTGTGAGCCCCCCCCAGACCCACTCATGGTTCTGTGCTAGAGGAGAAGGATTGAGGAGTCTTGAACACAAGGGGCAGTTCTACGGTTAGAAACCCCCCTGTTGGGGGGTTGCTTTGCCAGCTAAATGGCAGCTAAAAGAAAAAAATCACCAATGGCTGATGCACAGTGCTTGGTGTCCACCTGGGAAGAAGGTTGTTGGGGAGAAGATGGTAAGCAGGGGCTGAGTTTTCTTCTCACTCCCAAGCTTTACCCTTACCTTCTTTTTTTTGAGTCAGAGTCTCACTGTCACCCAGGCTGGAGTGCTGTGGCCCGCTCACTGCCACAGTAGCCTCTATCTGCTGGGCTCAGGTGATCCTTCCATCTTAGCTTTCCAAGTAGCCAGAACTACAGGCACACGCTACCACACCCAGCTAATTTTTTGATTTATTGTAGAGACAAGGTCTCACCAAGTTGCTCAGACTGGTCTCAAACCCTGGGCTCAGGCAATCCTCTTGCCTCCACCTCCCAAAGTGTTGGGATTACAGGCTTGAGCCACCATGCCCAGCCAAGCTTTATCTTCTTTTTTTTTTGAGTTGGAGTCTCACTCTGTCGCCCAGACTGGAGTGCAGTGGCCACTACCGGCCACCGCAGCCTCTACCCGCTGGGCTCCGGCGATCCTTCCGCCTCAGCCTTCCAAGTAGCCGGAATTACAGGCATGTGCTACCACACCCGGCTCATTTTTGCTTTATTTTAGAGATAATGTCTCGCTGCCCAGGCGGGTCTCGAACCCGTGGGCTCAGGCAATCCACTCACCTCAAGCTTTACCTTCTTAATCTTTTCTTTTTCCAAGCTAATAAAAAGAGAAAAGGAATTATTGAGTAACCTCAAATAGAAGTGGGATTTTTTTTTATTCTGGTAAATTGTCTAAGAAAAATATTTGCTTATGAAGTAATGCCAGCATTTTTCTTTTTTGAAGTTTGGGTTCTCATAGTACAGAGGTTCTAACCTAACAATTCCAAATATCTGGCATGTCTGGAGCCAAGAACCCTGAGTTTGTACTGTTGCTGATGTGCAAACACTGGGTGAGGTGACAAGCACCCCACATGTTCTCTTTAGTGAGCAACTCCATGTGCCTGCTCTGTCCAGCTGGGCTGAAGTCAGGGGTCAGTTCAGCCCCTGTTACTGCTGGCAACCTGGGGTCTCATTGGCTTTTGCAGTGACTGCAGTGGGGATACAATTCATTGCATCTAAAGTTGCAAATGGATCTCGGCATGTATTCTCTGTGGTGGTTGAAGATACAAAGGTCCACCATGAACTCACTCCCTTTATGCATACTAGAAAAGGTGTCTTTTATCCAGAAAGATGCAGTTCCTTGCTGAGTCGAGCAGAGTGTAGATTTCAGCCTCGTTTTCTCCTTTGGCCTCACAGTGGTGTATACAGCACCCCCACACAACCAAATATGGCGACCCGGTCACATGTGCTTGCATTCAGACTTGTGTATAGTGTGAGAGAAATACAATTGATTTCCCCACACATCTCACTCCAGTTCAGTTTTAGGATATTACCTATTAGTAAGCATAGGGTTGCTGGTACACTACAATTGCTGTTTGAATGAAGAATCAAAAGTCTAGCTTGGTTAGAGTTGCTGAACCTATTTGAACCTTTATGTGAGAAAGAAACGTTTCTAATCGTAGAAGTCCTCAGAGCTAGTTTACTTTGTTAAAGTTGTATTGGTCGTCATATTAATCTGTGCAATCATTTCTGAACTGAATGTTTTCTAGGGGCTTGTGTTATTGACCGTGATGGACATCTATTTAAATACCTTTTGGATTATCTTCATGGAGAAGTCCAGATTCCTGCAGATGAGCAAACCCGCGTTGCCCTGCAGGAAGAGGCTGATTACTTTGGCATTCCCTATCCCTACAGCCTGTCTGACCACTTGGCCAATGAAATGGAAACATATTCTTTAAGGTCAAATATAGAACTTAAAAAGGTCTTGACATTTTCTTAAGTTTTAAAATATATATATTTATTACGTACAAAGCAATATGTATTATTTTGTATAACCTGTGTTGTCACATAAACCAAACATGAGACAGTGTTTATAATTTTTGAAAACACCTTTCTTAAATACTACTACTCATTTCTTAAGTCCAAAATTCTAGGAAAGTATATTGCCACTCAAAGGTTTATTGAGTTTATATTCCTCATTGAAGATTTAACACCTTGTGATGACTTTTTAATAGAATTATTCTTCTCCTGAAATTCTTTTTCAAGTAAGAGAACTGTACTATGTGACGGTATAGTAATATTATTTTGTTTACTAAAATGATTTTTTATAAGATTGGTGTTAGCACCATGGTGGTGTGTGCCTGTAGTCCCAGCTACTTGGGTGGCTGAGGCAGGAGAATCTCTGGAACCCAGGAGTTGGAGGCTGCAGTGAGCTCTAATTACACCATTGCACTGCAGCCTGGAAAACAAGGCTAGATCTCATCTCTTAAAAAATAATAATAAAAGAATGGTCATGATGTATAACAACATCTCTTACCTAATTTAGTGAGTATCAGTTTGTTGCTAAGTTAAAACAGTAGTTGGGTTAATTCACTTTGAGATCAGTAAATCTTTTCTTTTTAAGATGCTTCTATTTTAAATCACATTTTAAAGGTCTTTAAATGACTTGAAAAGCTTGTCTGTTTTTGTCTTATTGAAAGTCTCTCTGTTATTCATTAGCACCTTATAGCATCTAATCTAAGGAAAGTATTTTTCCAAGAAACTTGTTTCTTGGAAACATATGAGCTGGTGTGAATTCTCTGACTGGTGACTCAGTGTTGAGGAAGTTGATGGGTAGCTGGTTATTAGGGGTACAGCATGAAGACAGTGTTGATTTGGGCTGAGACCTCCTTTAGGAATTTGCATGGTTGTGTGGATTCCACTACTGAAGTTGTTTGTAATTGAATTGTCAAGTAATAGTCTTTCTGCATTGCTGGCCACATCTGCAGGATGGGGCTGGGAGAGGCTGGCTAGAAGGTGGGGCAGAGGTCACATTTGTCTTCACAAGTCCCAGCTCTGGAGCCTTTCTTCCTGGTTTGTGTCAGAAAGGACAGAGCATGCCCACATTCATGTTGTTAGTCAACACATGCGTATTTCAAGTGTCTGTGACTTGCGGTGTGGTGTAAGGGACTATGTAGGACATCAAGAAATACAGCATACCATTCTTGCCCTTGAACAGTCTATGGTATGGTTGGGAATTCTCATAGATGTTTGTAAAGTAAAGTTGGAAACCAATACAGGAGTTAGATAGCAATATTAAATGAAAGTGCCATGTGTCAGGCACTATTCCAGCCACTTGGGATACATCAGTGAACACAGCAGACAAAAGTGCCTGTCCTCAAGGTGCTGACGGCAATAAAGGTGTTCTTCCCAGAACACCCTGGCACCCTGGCAGCTCTACTGGGGGAAGCCCTTCTGCTCCCGGCTCTGGAGTGTTATGGTCTCTGGTGGCGTTTCTTACACTGGGTGCTGAGAGCTTATTTAACGTCTGTCTTCTGCATTAGCTGTAAACTCTAGGAGGGCTGGGACCCTGTCTCACCACTGTTCACTATTTCAACCCCAGGACTTAAGATAGCTCAGCACATAGTAGGAACTTAATATTCAAGTGAATTAAGGAATAGGTGGGTAAAAGCCCAGTGACTTCAGACAGTATAGGTTGAGTTCATATGTTTGTATCTTTCAGTGTAGAAGAACAATTTAACCTAGTTAATCCATGGCTGGAGTTTAGAGTAAAAAATAGGATTCTACCCCAGGATTAGTCATAGAAGGTGAAAGAAAGATTGAGTCAAATGGGAAATTTAGGGGAAAATATTCTAAAGGGAAAATAAAAATCTTGAACTTTTAGTTATATGATGATGGTGAAATTAAAAGTGTGGAGGGATAACATTTTAAAGATTATTACATTCAAGGTGATGTTGGCTGAAGGAGGAGGAGATAAAATAGAATTTCCACGTGGAAGAGGTTTCTCTAGATGGAAAGGTATTGAGTTTTGGGTGATACTTTTTGTGATTGTCCTCCCTGTCCCCAATTAATTTTAAAAATGCAAATTTGGTTTTTAAAGGCATAAAGTCTGAACTGAAATTTATGATCTGTTTATTTCCCTTATGACCAACTGAAATGGCAGCTTTCCATGAAAGTAATAGAGCCAATTTGTTTTGATTTTAGCCTAGAATTAAGTTCAAATTCTGTATTTCTCTGCTTCAGGCTTTAACAGACTTCTGTGATTCGTATGGCTTAGTTTGCAATAAACCAACAGTTTGGGTTCTCCACTACCTTAACACATCTGGTGCAAGCTGTGAGAGTAGAATCATTGGTGTGTATGCCACGAAGACAGATGGAACAGAGGCTATTGACAAGCAGCTGGGAGGAAGGATTCACAGTAAAAGCATTTTTAAAAGGTATATCCAAACTTCATTGTGAAAAGGAGCAGGAGAAAGTCTTGGACTCTTGTGAAAGATGTTGCTGAATGGGTTGTGGTACTTGGAAAAGACTGTGTGAGTTGCTGAAACAGGCTGCTTCATGAGGAGACTCCCGTGAAGACCTCCTCACTTGCAGCATGTATGAGCCCCATTGGCCATCTGCATAGCCTGGTACAGTGGTTTTCAACTGGTAGTGCACATAAGAATCTCGAGAGATTTTGGAAAAAAAAAAAAGAGAAAGAAAAGCAAAGCCACATGCCTGGTGTCTTCCCTAGACCATAGGAGTACTGGCCTACAAGTCAGCAGGTCCACTGAGTGACCCAGGGCCAATTTGCACCTTGGTGTCCTCTTCTGAGAAATGATGAAGGACTTCCCTGCTCTCTTTCAGCTTTAGAATTCTTGAATGCAGGCCAGGTGCAGTGGCTCACGCCTGTAATCCCAACACAGGGAAGCTGAGGCAGGAGGATTGCATGAGCCCAGGAGTTCAAGACCTGGCTGGGCAACATAGTAGACCTCACCTCTACAAAAAAATAAAACAGTTAGTTGGGTGTGGTGGCACCTGCCTGTAGTCCTGGCTACTTGAGAGGCTGAGGTGGAAGGATCACCTGTGCCCAGGAGGTTGAGGCTGTGGTGAGCCATGATCATGCACTGCACTCCAGCCTGGGCGACAGTGAGATTCCAACTTAAAAACAAACAACAAAAAAATTCTTGACTGTGTTAAATTCTTAAGGGTTATTCTCTTAATATTTTCCCTGTAATCTTATTTACACTGGTCAATTTACTTAGCAATTTTTAAAAACCATTTTCAAGGAGATTAGATTGGATCACATATTAGTGACTAATGCACGACCATGTAAGATTCCTTTTTTAGATGATTAAATGTTACCCATTTCTGAATTCTTTACAGGCAGGGATGCGTCTATGTGCAAGACATATAAGTACCTGGTATAAGGCTAGGAAAGTTTCAGCCAAAGTTTAATCTTTTCTAAGTTTATTGGAGTTAGCCAATTTTTTAAAAACTTAATTTCAAAGATATGTTGATTTGTCTACATGGTTTATATTGTGGAATTAATAAACACTGTACCACAGTAGAAAGGTCAAATGAAGGTTAGTATATGACATTTTGTGTGTGTGTGTGTGTGTGTGTGTGTGTGTACGTGTGTGCATGTGCGCATATATAAGCTTAAGGTTCACAGGACAGCTGCTCTGTGCCTCCATTTTTTCCCTCCATTAATAAGCACTTCTTGTGTGTGTATTAGTTGTCTATATGTATACACATTCCTACCTACATAGTGTTTTTCATTACTTTTTGCAATATTTCTAGAGAGGCGGGAAATAATGTCCAGTACATCTGGAGCTATTATTCAGCTGCAGAGTTGAAGAAGATGATGGACGCCTTTGATGCTTGGGAAGGAAAAGGTATAGTGCAGTTATTTTATTTCATGGAAACAGGTAGACTTTCCCTAAAACAGACAGAGTAAGCTTAAATACTGCATTTCTTTTTTGAAAAAGTATTTTTTTGAGCATGTCCAGGTATTTGTAATCTTATGGTGACACTGAGACAGTTTGCTCTAAACCCATGAATTGCTAGATATTATTTATAGTTTAGAATTCAGTAACCTCGGCTGGGCATAGTGGCTCATACCTGTAATCCCAGCACTTTGGGATCCTGAGGTGAGAGGATTACCTGAGCCCAGGGGTTTTAGACCAGCCTGAGCAACTTGATGAGACCTTGTCTCTATGATAAATAAAAAAATTAGCTGGACATGATGGCATGTGCCTGTAATTCCAGCTGCTTGGAAGGCTGAGGTGGAAGGGTCACCTGAACCAGAAGTTTGAGACTGAGATAGCTGTGACTATGCCACTGCACTCTAGCCTGGGCACCAGAGTAAGCCTCTGACTCAAAAAAAAAAAAAAGCAGTAAATTTAAATTTGCGTCTGTTAATTATGCTTATTTTGTTCAGTTAAACTAGAGTTCATATAGTACCTACTGTGCATTGTCCTAAGAATACTCATAAATTAAACATAAAATATATAATCAAGAAAAGAAAGAGAAAATAGCAATAATGCTGGAGAGGATATCTAAATAACCCTTATAAAACAGTTAAAATAGTAAAATATTCTTTAAATGCACACTTTGAAAATTGGCCACTTTTACCCAGCTGCTTAGTGAGAGTTGATAATCACAGTGCTGTTTAGTATCTTCTGTGATAAGGAGGTGATGTTCAGTACCTTTTAGTCCTGATACAACGCTGCATACCATTTACATTCCCTATTTTATAGGTGGGGAAACTGAGTCTCACAGGGACCCTGCCACAGAGGAGTACGTGTTCTGTTCTATGTCTGTTTTTTTATTCTTAATTAACAAAGGTGTATTGAATAGCTGTTAGGTGCAAAGTACTCACGTATGTCCTACAGCTGGCCAAAGATAAATAAGACACATCCCATCCTCAGATGGCCTTAAAAGCTGGTATAACTGACTGCCAGTCATGTAAGCATGAATGGAAGGAGAGGGAGAGGCTTGGCAAGACTGCTTCAGCTGCTCTTCCTTAGGTGGTGCTAGCAGAACCCTTCCCCCTTTCCTCAGCTTCACTCTTCCCTTTTTGCTTTCCATTCATACCCTTCAAGCCAGCAGGATGACATCCTGAGGCTTACTATTTTAGATTTAGCTTACTCTGAGACACTTAGGTTCAAGTTGAAGGACAAGGCCTGTGGTGTGCTCTGTGTCTCCTCCATGCTTCTGGGCTGGCAGGATGCAGGAGCCTTTGGGAGGGCCCTAGCACTGCGTCTTCTCCACTGACTCAGGAAGCAGAAGGCAAAAACTAGGATCACTAACGTTTATAAAGCAGGCAACTGATTTTAACTTCTTTGAAAGCATGTAACGAAGCATCATTGTTGTGATTTAACAAAGTTTTGCAAGGCCTGTGAAAATCCTTAAGACAAGAAACAGAAGTAAGAGAAAAACTATTAGAAGGGAGAAGGCAGAAAAAAAAATTACAGGGGAAAATCCCATTCACAATAACAAACAAAATATAACTAGGACTGTCCTTGGAACTACCCAAGGATCTTTTATGAAGAAAACTGCTATAGTGTATTCATCTGTCTATCTGTCCATCCATCCACTCATCCATCCATTCATCTAATCATCCAGCCATCCATAAAAAAGAAGACCTTATGACTTGGCCTATAATTCCAGCACTTTGGGAAGCCTAGGTGAGTCGATTGCCTGAGCCTGCGGGTTCGAGACCCACCTGGGCAACTTGGTGAGACCTTGTCTCTACAATAAATCAAAAATTAGTTGGGCATGGTAGTGCACGCCTGTAGTTCTGGCTACTTGGAAGGCTGAGGCAGAAGGGTTGCCTGAGCCCAACAGGTCAAGGTTGTGGTGGCCGGGAGCGTGCCACTGCGCTCCAGTCTGGGCAACAGAGTGAGACTCCACCCCTCCGCCCCAAAAAAAGAAGACCTGAGGTGGGCACGGTGGCTCAAGCCTGTAATCCCAGCACTCTGGGAGGCCGAGTGAGGGGATTGCCTGATCCCACAGGTTCAAGAACAGCCTAGGCAATTTAGCAAGACTCATTTCTACAATAAATCAAAAAATTAGCCAGGTGTGGTAGCACACACCTGTAGTTCTGGCTACTTGGAAGGCTGAAGTGGAAGGGTAGCCTGAGCCCAGCAGGTTGATACTGAGATGGCCTTGAGCGTGAGACTCCAACTAAAAAAAAAAAAAAAAAAAAAAGACATGAGGAGAATGACTGTGATCCTGAATGAGAAATCTAAATATTCTAAATAGTATAAAGATGTCAGTTCTTCTCAGATTAAATTATAAGTCTATCAGAATATCAATAGAACTTTTTGGAGATCTTAGAAAATTATTCTAAAATTGCTGTGAAAGAATAAATGGGTAAAATTGCCAAGAACATTTTGGGAAGTAGAAATAATAAGGGGAATGAGTCTAACTGTTTGATCGTAAAACATGCTGTAGATCTATAATAATAAAAACCAAACATGTGTTTCTGGTGTAAGAATAGACCAGAGATCATGGGTAAACCACAATATATTACAAAAATGAAAATACTATGTGATAAAAAAGTATTAAATATCAGTAGAAAAAGGATAGTTATTTAATAAGTAATTTAGAAATATATTTGGGAGGAAAAACAAAACTTTAGCCTCACATCATTTACCAAAATAGTTTCATAGATTTATGAGTGAGAAGAAACTATAATAAACTAAAAGGAAATGTAAGCAAATAATTGATTTCTTAATAGGGAAAGGAATTATAAGCTCAAAATAAATCATAAAGACAAAGATTGATACATTTGATTAAATAATACTTAAGGTTTTAAGAACTTTAAAACAAAAATTGTAAATAAATCTTAAGGACTAATAAAAAACCTAGGATAACTAATGTTATATTAATTGGATAAAGAATATCTTTAATATAAAGAAGGTTTTTAAAAATTGATTAGGAAATCAGTTCAACTCCTACTACAAAAAAAAGTGCAGGGTTCATGACCATAAAATTCCCAGAAAAGGAGATAAATATGTGGCTCTACCTCATTATTTATTAATTGGATACAAGGGGGACTCCCCAAAAATGGAATATTTTTTAGAGGGTGAATTCCTTGTAGTACAGGCTTCTCCTGCTAGGTAAATGTCTAAGAACCCGTGGGCATCAGTGTACCAGCTAGTGTTGTTGTGAGAGGCTTGTGTTCAGCTTCACTGAAATTTTTTGGAGAATCTTCCAATACGTTTGCCCATTTCATTATGAGTGACTTACTAGCACACTTGTCCCACACTGTGCTGAGTGTTCAGCAGTTTTTGACCAAAAATAGCATGACCTCCATGTCCCACCCTCCCTATTCACCAGATCTCAGCCAAGTGATATTTTTTTTTGTTTCCTTGGATGAAAAAAGTCCTCAAAGGGAAATGTTTTGCCAATGTGGAAGAGGTGAAACAAAAAACAACAGAGGCGCTAAAAGGTATCAAATGGATAAGTTCAAAAACTGTTTTGAGCAATGGAAAAAGCATCTCAACCAGTATGTTGCATCAAATGGAGAGTACTTTATTTTTTGTGTGCTTTTTGTTATTTTGAGTTAAAGTCTCACTCTGTTGTCCAGGCTGAAGCGCTGGTCACCACAGCCTCTACCTGCCGGGTTTAGGTGATCCTTCTGCCTCAGCCTTCCTCAAGTGTAGTGTAAACAGCCTGAGAGGACAGAAAGCCAGCCGAGACACGGCTGTGTTTGGCAGCTGTGTTTGGCAGCCCGTGGCGCTCATGGCACTCATGGCAGCCCATGTACTCACCAGTTGCGCTACAGTAACTTTTTGTGATTTAAAGGACATGGGGATCATCATTTAGAAGCCACATGTTCAAATGACCAAAAAGTAAAAGCAGGCCACAAAGACAGAGCTCGATGATTTTTTTGTCTTTTCAATGTGTAGATTTTGATACTTAAGGAGTTTTCTTAAGTTATGCACTAAAAGCATTTTAGCATTTTATTCCATTCTGCTGCTCTTTTCAGGAACTGCGTGATGCAGATGTCCTTGGTCCCCGTGTCAGGGTACCGTACTGGCTAATTTTATGATTTATTGTAGAGACGAGGTCTCACCATGCTGGTCACAAACCCCTGAACTCAGGCAGTTCTCTTGCCTCCACTTCCCAAAGTGCCGAGATTACAGGCATGAGCCACTGCACCCAGCTAAATGGAGAGTACTTTGAAGGTGACTGAAATTTAAACATGTAAGAATAATTTTTTTTTTTTTTTTTTTTGAGTTGGAGTCTCACTCGGTTGCCCAGACTGGAGTGCAGTGGCCGCTTCCGGCCACTGCAGCCTCGCCTGCTGGGCTCCGGGGATCCTTCCGCCTCAGCCTTCCAGTAGCCGGAATTACAGGCATGGGCTACCACACCCGGCTGATTTTTTGATTTATTGTAGAGATGAGGTCTCAGCCTGCCCAGGCGGGTCTCGAACCTGCGGACTCAGGCCATCCACTCACCTCAGCCTCCCAGAGTGCGGGATTACAGGCTGAGCCACCGAGCCCGGCTAGGTTAAATTAAGGGTCTTTAAAGGGGGAGGAGTTTTGTTGGATTAACCGGGAAATTCCTAAATGCAGTCACATACATATTTATAACAGGGAGGTAGAGAGAAATGTGGCCACAAACAGAAGAGTAGATGATGTGGAGCTGGAACAGAGAGATTTGCGGATGATGGTCTTGAAGCGTAAAGTGATGGGATAGGTTCCAGGAGCTTCCAGAAATTGGAAAAGGCAAAGAGGGATTCTCACCTAGATCCAGCAGAGGGAGGAGGGCCCTGCTGCCGCCTCAATTTCAGCAGTGATACTGATTGCCTGACCTCTAAAACTGTGGAAGAATAGGATTTCTGTGTTTTAAACCAACATGTTTGAGATTCTTTGTCACAGCA